CCCCTCTTTTCCTGTTCTGTCCTCCTACGATTTTCCGAGTTCCTACCTGCAGCAAAGCAGCGCCACCTTATTAGAATGTACAGATGATACAACTGGTTAGATAATGAAGTCTAATATAGCAGAGAAAAAATGTATAAATGATCTCTGAGGGGCATAGAAATTGAGTGACTCTAAAAGACACTGTCATCATATATCTTCTCCGACTAGGAGTCCATTTTACACGACTAGGAAGGCCTGTATCCATTTGCTAGTTTCAAATTCGCTGGAGAATTATCCTGAATACGATCGAGCTCTCAGTTTTTTCAAATGGAAGAAAAGGATCCAGAGGGTGGTAAAATGCGCGCAATGCACGTCGAGACCCTCTAATGCGAAGTTTCGAAGACCGCGGGCCCCGGTCCGTTAATTGGCGCGACGAATCGCGAGCGAAATCGAGCGAGATTGGTGTTCAACGGGGCGGATCGTGGGAGTAGGGAGTCTCGCGGGCCAATTAACCGTCTGCGTTCCCTGACGACGAAGACGCGACGCCAAGGTAAACGCAAATAAGCGAGCCGGGAATTTCCAAAGCGTCTCGAGTCTCGAACGGGGGCGGTTTGACGAGCCGTAGAAGCCCAGCGATGACAGGAGGAAGACGGAGCTGAAAGGTCCGTTGCCGAAGGGCGAGCAGGGCTGGGAGGATAGAGAGAGAAAGGGACGTCGACCGAGTCTCCGGGTACGGGGGGGTTTACATTTAATTAATTAGACGGTTGGCGAGCAAGACCGAAAGGAAAAGCGAGGAGGCGCACGCTGACAGTGAAACGTGTTTAAACGCGGGCTCTTTCATCTCGCGGCGAGCTGACCGCTCGCGGTGAAAACCTCCGCGCGAAAGAACCATCCCCGAACGAGATCTGGGAAATTTTCGTGCCTTGGTTGGCAACGTCCGTTTCCGCGTTCGTTCCGAATATTCGGTACTTTCGAAAGAAATTAGGGAAATGGAAGACATTCGTATCGTCCGCGAAGATATAATCTTCTGATAATTCACGAAAGCTAATTTCACATCGAAAGGACGTTCTTTGGGATTAAGGTCAACGTTTAATATTCCCGCAAACACGTCGCTGCGAACCAGGAGTCGTATCCGGGAAACGATCGCGAAAACTCCGGCGGCAAGCAAAAATTACAAATTCAACGGAAGTTCGCTTGACCAGGGTCCCTTTATCTCGCCCCCCCCGCGGATAATTACTTACCCTGGCGCGCCTCCAAGCTTCGTCCCGAGAACGACCTCGTAAAACGCAAGCATCGGTGGCATCTCTTAATCCCATAAAGGGGTGAATCGCAAGCTATGGCCGGACAACCCCTTGGAGCGTTTTAAGCCAGCCAGGGGGCCGCTGCGTGCGCGGCAACGCGGAACGAGCCTCTCATTATCGTAAACGTAACTCAGCCTACGTCGGGCGGCTCGCGAGTTTCTGAAACCGAGCTAGGATTCGCGAGAAAACGAGTATCCGTTCCAGAAACGTGCAACTTTTATTCGCGGGGCAATTAACCGGGGGACGAGTGTGTCACAATATTGCACGACTCGTCGCTTTGAAGCGATATTACCATTTGAAGGCAATTTTAGACGATTTTAAAAACAAAGTTATTATTTGCAGACTATTTAAATTGAATTTCATTTGTAATAAAATAATAAAATTGATTCTGGGAATGAAACACGAGCTACGGTTTCCATAAGGTGCGAGCCTCGAAGGCTTTGTCGCGTTGCTGCGGGGGTGGAAACAGGAGGGGTTGTTGGATCGTCTCGAAGATCCGCGGGTTTTTCAGGGTCTCTGTTTCGGGGTGAATTTGAAACGACGGATCGAGGGGTCGACGGTGAAATCTTCTTGCATCTTTTTTTCATACGACGTGGCGAATTTATGAGAGCCCCGGCGTCGGGATGCTTTGTGGGACGTCGTGAATCGGTGAAGGGGTGGTCTTCTTAAGACTGTTGCGGAACATTTACTCTCGTGAATTTCTAGAGCGACGACCTTAGTATGGAATATCTCACGAAATGGAGCAAAAATCGAGGGTGAAGAGATATCGTATCCGCTGTTGCTCCGCCCACGCGCGAAACAATTATCTCAGTAGGGATTTCCGAATTGAAATAACGCTTTATATTAAAATAAATTGTCTTTTGGTAGAAGAGAAACCGTAAGAAAGTTTTTAACTAAAAGGTTAGCACTCCAGTGTCTGACAGAACTGTTTCCACGGAAGTGTAGCGAAATTCCGAAATGGTCACGATTCGAATGTCTGCACTTCCCCTGGGTCGGTGCTGCTCGAATTTCCGGTCACATCGTCGGGCAACATTTGTTGCGTATCTGGCGGCAATCTCTGGGCCATTAAAACGTAACTCGGTCATTAAGCGAGCCCCGTTCTTCGACTAGTCGACGCGCCGTGAACGAGCCGGCGCGGCGCTTTAAATACGCCGTAAAAACCATCGCCGATCACGAGACCGTGCTTAGGTATCTTTTTCTCCGTTTTTCGTGTTCCGATGATCGTTGACCTTAATCGAGCCGTTCCGGGGGCCTCGAATCACCGTCACGTAAGTAACTCACTCCCCCGGCATTAAGGCTGATGTTTTAAAACGAGAAGCTTCGCCTCGGCACCTCGCCGTTTCGGGGAAAGTAATTGAATCCTTAATACCGAGTCCGTGAACTCTAAGACCTTGATACAAGGGCAACGACGGGGATAACGAAGTTATAAATTAGGCGTTTAATTCTTGAAACTCTTCGCTGAATTCTAAAATCTCCGGTGGCCCGTTTCCTCGACCATCGTTCTTTATTACTTTCGCGTCTAAACGAGCTTCCTTTTTAAATTTTCGCCGAACGCAAACAGGATTACAACGATACTCGGTTCTGCAAAGATCAAGAATCGTCGGGAAGTCGTTCTCGATCCTTCGTCCGAGCAAACACGAGTTCTCGTTTAAGTATCTCAGCGTCGGAGGCTCGTCCTCGGAGGTCTCTCGTGTGTTGCAAAGGAAACGTCTCGTCTGGCTAAATGCCTCTGACGACGAAATTTTCCGTAATTAGAGAGAAAACGGCCTCCTTTGATCTCTCCCCGAGGAGAAGCACCGCGGAACGAGCAGCGAGAGAGATTGCCTTCTCGGCGATCGATCGAAATAATTGCACGCGCCGAAATTTCCATACCGCGATCGAGTGGTCGGTTTTCCTAGGAGCGAGGGATACCGTAATTTCCGGGCGTTTCCGCGATATTAGTCGAGCAAATACTCGGTAGATCGGTTTCGAATGCAAACCACTTGTATTTCCATAGATTTATAAACGAAGGGAACCTTCGATCATCAAACTATTTGGACGGACGAACTGATATGTACGAGGCAATTTCTAGCTACCATTTCAGGCGCAACTTCGAAATTGAATATTTCTCGCCAGGCAGCTGCGAAAGTTTCTAGGTGACCTAGATCCTTCTCAAACAGGATCAACTTACGGTATTGGTCGATTAGGCGGTAATAAAAAACCGTGGATCCCAGGACTCCGTCGTTTCGACCCTTCTCGCGTGACCGCGATTCCACCCGGAAGGCTTCCGTTTCCGAAAGTTAATCCGCGCTGAAACCCGAGTGGCGGTCGTTTTCCACGGACTTTAAGGGGTATCGCGGATCGATCGGCGGGGATAGCCGTAAAGAAGGGCGAAAGGAGACCGTAAGGGTGGCGAAAGAAGCTGCACGAGAAGCCCGGAGTCTCGTGAACCGCGCGTTTCACCTGATAAACGTAACTTCTGATACACGGTGGCTGGTTCCCCCGTTTCTCCTTTCGTTAAGCTCGCGGTAAAGTTTTTCACGATCCTTACCGCCCCACGGATTTTCATCCCCGCGAGGCACGAAGGCCACCCTCGCGCCACGGTCCATTCGCGGCCGTTTTAATTCCCGGGGATCGAATAAGAATTCATTAGAGGATAGACGCGGCGAGGGCAATCTTTTCCCCGCGCCAGCAGGAGTTTTAAATAAATTAAAAGTTTACCTTTTCCCTCTCGTGGCCACGTGACGCTCGCGAAGAATCGATGGCCGCCCTTCGCGATCGAACTTTTCTTTAATTACTAAACCCGGGGAGGTTCCCGGAAATCTATTCACCGAGCAGTTTCGTCGTCTTGAAGAGATTCGAGGTGCGGGGTGGAAGCCTTTCGAGAGTTTGGACCAACGAGGGTGAGAAGGATCGGTGCTCGCGGGGTGGAAAATTGTCGATAACGTCGCGACGTACGCTTCGGATTTACCCTCCGGCGGCGTGGTCCTCGACAAAACAAGCGAAAAAGTCAATTTAACGGGTTTCGGATTTCATACTCAAAGTTAGGGAACTCGTAAATATCGTTTGTTGGCGATTCGTGTCGAATGGTACGAGTATATAGTCTACTTAAAAGAGAAGTCGAACGGATCGAAGACTTGCTTCTACGATTCCTTCTTATTGGCCACGCAACGATTTAGTAATTGGCCCTGTTCGGCCCACCTCCGCGAACAAATATTTTCTTGCAATATCTCGAGCGGCCAGGCTTCCCTTTGAAGACCGTGAAATTCAGTAGAAACGGCCCGGAATCGTCAGACGCGGCGAAATATCCTTCGACGTTTTCGACGTTTGGCGTTGCCACCGGCAATACTGCTAATACGTTTCTCGAGGTATCGCGTACCCGACCCCCGTATTAAGCATTATAGCTACGAGCTTTTTACGCTGCCAGCAACGGAGGCTTTTCGTTCCGAGATCAAAGCGTTTTCTCGTTATCCGTTCCCATTTCTGGCTTTTGCCAGCGAGCTAACCGCCGAAAAGTCATACGCCGCCGCGCGTCTAGCCAAATAATCGAACCAGATCGCGCTCGGTTCGAAGCCGGAGCACCAGAAGCTGCGAAAACATCGCGATTTACGAGACCTTCGTTTCTCCACCACGGCCAAACAGGAAAAGTTTCGGAACTTTTCCTAAAACGACTCGAAAGTTCCAAGGGTTGCTAAATTGTTATCTTTTAAAATAAATTTTATTACAGTATTTAAGCCCCAGTATTGACATTTATATACTTGTTTATTTTTTATATTACATTTACATTTAGAATACATATTTTTAAATTTTGTAATGCTCGATCACTTACACACGAAACAAGATATGTGTTTTTCCAGTAATATTTACGTTCGTTCTATTTTCACTATGAATTGTTTTCTGGAACGACTAAGACTAAACTGTTGTTTAATGTAAATTTTATCGTATTACTGGTAATTCTGAAAGATTAATTATATTGAAATAAGAATATAAGATACGAAAAGTAGTAGAACACTGGCTAGTAGGTGTTGAGCACTCGAAGGATCATTTTTGGTTTCAACGATCTTCGGGGTCACCGGTAATTCTGAAAGATTAATTATATTAAAATTAGACAATAAGATACGAGAAGTAGTAGAACACTGGCCAGTACGTTTTACCCGAAGGATCATTTGTGGTTTCAACGTCCTTCGAGGTCATCCGTTTCGTCGCCACGTTCATGTTTTCGAGTATCCAACTCTCGTAGAACAAGACGTCCGAGTAGACGCCGGGGAGTCCCGGTAACGCGCACTCTTCGCCACCGGAAACCACACCACACAGGAAGCCGTCGCAAATCATACCACCCCCAGAATCACCCTGCGCAAAATTGTTGCAATCGATTAATCCGTCTTCGTAATGATTTTAAAAAGTATTCGTTGCACGGGAAACCTCGTGACTCGAAGGGTCAAGCTCGATCGATCGCTCGAAGCCGCTCTATCGACCGTGAATCGCGCCCGGCTTGTTTCTCTATTCAAGAAGCTAGAAAAAACTTGGAGAACGATTAATCATTCGACCAGTCATCGTTCTCGAAAAATTTTCTTTCTGCGCGTTGAATAGCACTTCGCTCTGCTTTATTTCAAGTTTCCTCTTTCGCTCTGCCGTTCACACGTCCATCGTCCATCCACAGCCCAGTGGTGCGCAACCTTGACCGTTTCTGGGCCAAATGAAACGAAATATTTTTCAGGACGTAAATTTCCAGGTCCTGGTGTTTGAACCAAAGGGCACCACTGGGCTACTCGATACGAAACCATCTTTAAATCGTTACCTGACACGCGTCTCTCAGTCCCTCTGTGTATCCGGCGCAGAACATCCCTGGCGGCAGGTCTGTTACGTTCACCAAAAGCTCCTTGCACTGGTTCTTACTTATGATCGGTAGATCCACGTACATGAGATCGTTGCTCACTATCGGTGTGTCCTGCGAGGAGAAATTTAAATTTGCTTTCGATTAAAATATATATACAAGGTCATATGCCATTATTATTGCAACGAAAAATGTTTCTGTGTAATAATATCGTTACTCACGAATGCTGGGTAGCCCCATCCGGACACTTGGCAAACCGTGCCGGGTTCAACTTCGTTCGTGGCAAGTTGCACGGGCATAACTTCCTGCGTGAGCTTGAAGGGTTCTTTGAGCTGAAAAATGTCGCGATTAGCAACCGACGTTTCCGGTTAGAGCGTGCTCGTAAATAAAAAGGGCCGTACAACGAGGAGAGATATGTCGTTCTGCAAAGTTGTTTCGTCAAATTCGGAGTGAACGATAATCTCGTCGACGCCTCTACTCTGTCCAGTGGCCGTTTGCTTGTTGAGTTGCAATTCTCCAGCAACCACCGTGATGGTCCAAGGCTGTATACGGCCGCCATTCCTGCATCACAATCGTTCGATAGTGAATTTTAGATCGTACTCGTAGATAGCAATGTTTTTTGGTAATCTACATCGCCTTTATCGCGCTCTTTCGAGCACCCCAAAATCCAGGATTCCTCGCGGAAATCTTAGAACAAAGCTAGATTTCCTACTGTTTAAATTAGTCTTGGAAAATTTGCTGTCGCAAGATTTGGAGCAACAAATTCGAAGCCTTGCAAACTTACATGTACATACAGTGTGCCGCTGTGAGAACATAGTACTCGTCGATCAACGAGCCTCCGCAGAAGTGTCTGGAATTGTAACTTCGTCTTAGAGACACCTACAAAATATTTAGAACAAATCGTTCGTTTATTGCGCGAATTTCCCTTTTCTTTTAATACGATTGATTTCTGCAGTGTCCATTTGTTACGAGAATTTTTACAATTAAAATTCTATTCCTATTATTTTATCCTGAATAATGTAGGATGTAGTATAAAAATGTACCTGATAAGGAAACTGCCTCGAAACAGCCTTGGTCCCATTAACTATACGTCCTATCAAACTGAAATATTCCCACTCCAGTTGATTAGAAGGGCTTTGTTCGGTATTCGTATACACTGAAATATGGTAAATAATCATTTGTGTATTTAGTTTTCACAACAAGATAAATGCGTAGTTTTTAAAATGGCGTCATGTAAAATATAAAATTTCGATTTTTATAGAAACAAATTCTAAAGAAAACCAAATGTCCAGGTCGAAGCACATAAATACATAATCAAGCAATCCTATCGAAGCTATTTTTGTAATATATACGACAACAAGCTTACGTTTAATCTCGTATTTTCAAACGATTGTAATTCTGTTAGCTGTTAAAACATCGAATTAATATCTTGATCATTGTTAGAGATAATCGGTATCTTTCCACGATGGTTCAAATTTCAAAATTTCGTTCCAGGAATATATTTTTGACACGATAATCTGTTACTTTCGCCATCCGAATGGGGGTGGTTACGCAACAAGATGGGTTATCGATAATTTTCGCACGATTTCACGAATATCAAATCCACGGGAACGTACGAAGCGTATTTTCACCAATTTTTCCAGAGCACGACTCACCGAGACCGCAGCTCCATAATTGAACTGCAAGGACGATCGCGAAAGGAAGCAGCAGCATCTTCCTTTCACTGATTCCTTCTCTTGTTTCTTGTCAGTGTTGTAGTGTTCTCTGTCCTTCAGCTAGTATCTGTATCCCCCTACCGACGTTTAGACTCCAACTGACCACGTTCGCGGCCACAATGGACGAAGAAGCTCGTTATCAGACACAAAGAACATTTATCTCACCGCGATATCGCCTATCGCTTACTACCTAGAGTTAATTGTAGCGCTGACAGGTGGCTAGCCGAAAAATGCTCCGACGAGTCGTTCGCGGCATCCTTCGCGAGTCCAAGTTCCAAAGCAGACGCTCGTCATCCTCAAAATCGATCTACACTTCGTTTCATTCTTCGCGTGTAATGAAATGGGAAATAAATCGACTTCGATGCGCTTTGGAAACAGCATTGAAATTAAAGTCGAATCGATTCGATTAGAGATTATCTTCCCCGACAATCTGGGAAAAGAACTCTCCGGTAGTAATTGTAACTTTTTTGTTAGAGCAAATTCTGGGAACTCAGAGATAACGAGTAATCAACGGTAGCCGTAATCGATAGGCGATCGAGAAAAAGTTTGTTCGATATAGATTGGCGGTTGGTGTTTTGATTTTTTATCAAGCTGTTGGGAAACGGACGCAATGCGACGGTAATTTGGTCGAACGGGTTTGTGGGCCGGTAACGCGGGTTTTTGGCACACCCAGCGAGGGATTGGATCGCCGTTGGTAGATCGTCGGCGAAACCTTTGTAACTTAATCTTCGATCAACAATGTAATCGCGGAATGATCGTGCAAGTTTACTCGCGGTTATTGTCTCTGCATTTTCTCGTATTCTACAAGTTACCAAGGTTTTCTATCCGCGCGGGAACGAAGCTACAAAGTGTCGATACCTATGAAATTACATGTGGTATTGTCAGAGAACAACGGACGTTTTTATTTTTGCGTGAAGATAATCCAAGATAACGTGATCCATCCAATAGATCACTAATGAGTAACTAGCATTATTGTACACTCTTCATCTGCTAGTACAATAAGAGTTTTAATTTTGACTTAATCTAATGATACTCATATAGTCGTACCTTTGTGATCCTTTGTTTCTGAACTGTCATTATTCTTACGTATGATTCATTTTGCACCCAATACCACTAACATTATCAAATGTTTAAGCGGTTTGAAAGCTGCTACTGCATTAACCATATCCGAGAGATTAAAATATCGATGAATAGGCGTGTTACGGTCCGAGTATCGCGGATTTTTCAAAAGTAACAATTACGGCTGCCCTTTAACGAGTCATGAAATAATCGGTCAGCAATCAGAATCGTATATACATCGTTAACGTCTCGTTAACTTCTACCCTCGGCGCGATTCGAAACGCCAGAACGTGTTCCCATATTAATCGAGGCGATTAATAACTCCCGTTTCACGTCGCGGTCTCTGAACGAGAAGTTTCGCGATCGATCAAGATCGCGCTGGCGGAATCGCAGCGGATCGTGAAAGGAACACGTGGCTTAACGATGCACGTGCGTAGCCAGAGAGGTTAAAAAGTATCTTCGAAGGCCGATACCGGGCGCGAAAGGCGTGCATTTATTCGACCAGGCACAAATTAACGCCATCGCGTACCGGGAACGATCAATCTTCGCTGCGTCCAGTTCTGTTCTATCGGTGGATCGCGTTAAACGGGGACAACGCCTCAACGGATTTCAAAAAATCCCATTTTTAACGATCGTCATAATGTCTTAACTCGCTATTTTTCGACAGTTTGGCTATTTATGTTGTACCAACGAGTAGACGGTTATCGACGATAAATGAATTAACGAGAAACCCGGCGACACGGAGGCAAACTCGGCCAGTCGAGTACAGCCAGTAATTACTTATTATTTATAAGACACGCACCTGGCGTAATCACCGAGTAATCACGTTTCCAACCATCCTTTCAACCCTGTCCCTCTTCTCTGGAGAGGCAAAAACAAAATCGCGTGACACTTCCTACGATCAAGGCTTCTGCAAGCGTCTGGAGCCGGTATCGAGGTCTCGTCGCGTAGCAAATACGACATTATTTAGCATCGGGGGACAATAGGAACGTATCACCCTCCTCCGCGAGCTTTCGCCATCTATCTCGAGGGCCTCGAGTTCTCCAAACGCCGTCAGGTGGCCGCGAATCGATAAACAAAACCGTACGGAGCGTAAACAACCCCCGGTACAATATTTCCTCGAGCCCCGGCGACGTCTGGGTCGCAAACACCAATCTCGGTAAGTAAATTCTCTTCAGCGTGTCCCCAAACATTCCGTGGCCCCCTGCAGAATCGCCGACAGGTCCCGACCTTCGGGTTCGAAACGGCCATCGAGAGTGCAAAGTTCTACGCGGGACGCCTCTCGCGACGAAATTGCACTCGGATCCACATCCCAACCATTCTATTTCTCGTTTCATCCAAGCAAAATCATGGAGACTATTATTATTTAGTCATGACATTAACCCTCTGGACTCATGATCTCAATTGAACAATTTTACTTGATGTTGATTCTTATCAAATTGGTAAATGAAAATCAACTTTCCTTTAAGGCATTTTAAAAACAATGAACTAATGGAGGATTACATAAATTTTCAAATAATTACATTGATATATATTAAATTTGCAGATTCCAATAATCCACTTAAGGGTTAAAGTGCATAATAATTTCAAAAAATAAAGACTGTATAGAATTGAATGCATGATAATGTGTGTCATTTTGCACCACATGGTAAAGTCTATATTTTCTTTCTTCGTACAATACACGTTCATGGATGCCGGTCCCGCCTTTTTAAAGCGAGGAATTCGAAGGTATTCGTTGTACGGAATGGTCGCAGGATCCGAATCGCGATTATCGTTCGGACCCTGTTCCGCCCTCGGTTAATTAGCATCAGGAATGGACCGTTCGAAGGTTGGACCAATCGAACGCGACTCATGTGCTAGACAACGAACGCCTGGGGGGTTCTCGACCGGTCTGTTGGCCACGCGGAGATTGTACACAGGGGTTGTACGGACTTGTACGCGGGTTTGCCGGAACACGGGGATGGGTAATGGTGGCCCCTATCAGCTCTGTACACTCTCCTCGTCTGCGCCCTGCACGCCTCTCGCGCGCGGCCGTGCCGCCCAGCCCTTGAAAACCCCGTCAGGAGCAACGATATTCCGGTGAGTTACGTCGATGGTACCTGAAACGCACGCTGGTCGACCACTTTGCATATTGGATATTAGCGCACCCCGTCATTTCGAGTCTTTGACGAACGCGCCGTTGACCGTCGTCGTTCTGGAATCCTACTAGGTCGGGTCCAATCGCCAGAACAGGAGATATCTGCATAGTAATTCGTAGTTTCTCCCATAGAAGCGTGCTTGACAGCTCGATAATCGATTACGAGAAAAAAAGATGGATTTAGGTAATGTTAATTGCCATAGATTCCTATTCTCAGCGATTAACATAGAAAAATCATACTCAAAATAACAAGTTACTCAAGTGGACTTGAAACTACCCAGATCTGAACGTGCTTAATTTGATCAAAACAGAAACTTATGATTCCTCTAGGACATCCAGCTGCTTCATCATCGCCATTAACGCTCGGCCGTTATTAAAACAATCATCGCGTCGTCGTTGCGCGATGTTCTCCGGGCGGTGAAAAAAACCGGACAGATCTGATTACGTAGTAATTTAGCCGCGAACGGTTTCCACGGCGTCTCCTCTCGGCGGAATCGATGACTGCGTGCCTCGTCACGCACACGTCGCCACGCGGGAACGTCCTTTAGCATCCGTAACTAAATAACAGCCAAGAGCCGCAGAACCGAGGAGGCGGTCGGAGTCGCTCGCCCGGAGGCAGCATTCCTTATCATTACATCCCATAAACATTATCCTCGGCTCCATCGAGAATGATTCCACGATCCGGCTGGAAGGAGTCAAGTGGAGGTAGCACGTCTTCGATCCGCTGGAATGGCGGGGATAGAAGGAAAGAGACGCTGCCCAAGGAGTCAAGGAGAGACGAGGACGGGGCAAGGTACTTGGAAGGCGAACGGGGACAACTCGTGGAACGTCGATGGGACTTTAAGTTTCGACGATCGACTGGGAATACCTCCTCGTTGGTTCGGCATTCTGAACTCTCAAGTGCAAACTTGTTCCATGAGTTTATTTTTTTTCACTTGATCTTAGGTATACGTAATGTTATAAACGGTACGGAAGCGTTGATGCACGCTCCATTTTGTTCTATTAGTTTCCACCAGCACTCCGAAAGATTTCGTAAATACTATATTGCCAAATTTGATTTCATTTGACTAATTTGTTATGTCAAGTGACGAGGAAAGATATCGCTTGCTAATATCGGTAGGAATATGTTAGGTTAAGAGAAAGAACTAGGTTAGAAGTAACGTGGTGCTACAAATGAGTCTTACGCTGTCTGATTATGATGTCTGAATCTACTGGAGGTCTTGTCTCCGCGGAACACTTGCTAGCACGAGACTGAAAATTGTTACTCTTACAGTTGTTTGACGAATACATTTAAAAAAATATATAATAAATTGTAAAAATATTGTACGAAACTTAAGTACTCTAGTTCTAATTTTTAAATAAATGGATGCAAAAAACAGAACAAAAAAAAGAACCAACACTACGCACTGTTCCCAAGCGGTCACCCATCCAAGTACTAAATGCGCCCAATGCCGCTTAACTTCGGTGATCGGACGAGAACCGGTGTTTTCCAACGTGGTATGAGCGTTGTTATAAAATTTAGTTCACATGTAGTGTGATAAAAAATAATTCTTATCAATATCGACAAAAATATATTCGATAAAAAAAAAAGAATTAGCCTAGATTTAAAAACTTTAATTCCCATTTTTAAATTAATGATAACCAACGTTGTATGCAGCTTATCTTCAAACATACGAAATTAGATGCGACTACTCTATTGCATTATGTATTTGTTTCTCATCAAAGGGTGATCACTCGTAAATGAATAAATAAATATTGTTTTTGGGTGAGTCTTGTAATATATCACTCGATATATAAACTAAATTTTATAACAACGCTCATACCACGTTGGAAAACACCGGTTCTCGTCCGATCACCGAAGTTAAGCGGCGTTGGGCGCATTTAGTACTTGGATGGGTGACCGCTTGGGAA